GTGCGGCTTCTTCAGCAAACTCTTCTCTCCCGCGTCAGTGGAAAGCCCGCTCTGCGTAAGTTTTCAATAGTTACCTTAGACTTGAATTTGAGCGAATGAATAATCTGATTCATCTATTTTCCTTCATATTCTATGCGTCATAACGATCCACGTAATCTCTCTGTCTTTACACCTACATCTATGTCATGTACGACAAATAAAAGTCCACGTTGGATGAGGACGAAAGTAGAGAACACGGCGGTCAAGATATACAGATTCCCACAACATCGCATCTGTCCTTTGATAGACTGTTTCAGTTGACGATGAACAAGGTATATATTGATGTAAGATAGGACACCGTCATCTCATCTCACAAATCTTAAAGCCACCTTGCTACACAAATCTACGCGCTCTGATTGACAGGATGTGCGACTGAGTAGACAAGTAGATGTCTCTCTCTGCCATAGACCTATCAAACGCGGCAAACAAACGAGTGACGTGAATACAACACCTGTCTCTCCCTCAACCTCTCGACCTCTCCACCGTCCGCTCGTTCATCCGTCTACTTGTGCTGGCCCTGCTGTCCTCCCTGGGCCTGTCCTCCTTGGCCACCCTGACCCTGCTGACCAGCGTTGGCGTTTCTGTCTCCAGCACCCTGGGCCCGCGCAGCAAAGCCGCCGGAGCTCATGTCCTTTCCACCCTGAGCCTATCATAGGTAGTTAGAGAGAGATCCGTTCAACATGAAAATACGAAGGTACATACCTGGGTCGACTGGATGCGAGAGGCATCGCTCTTGCTCATCTGGTTGGGCATGTTGTCTGAGATTGTTTGAAACGAAGTTCAGTGATGTGTTTGAGTTGATAAGATGGTTGTCGTCCGTTGTCTGTTGCTATGAGCTGAGGTGCCTGTAAATCAATCGGAAATCTCATGGAAATGTTACAGACTTTTATACTCATGTCGCCCTCCCAGTCACATGCTATCGCACCCGTACAAATCACCAAACGATACCTATCAAACTTCACCGCCCAAACTTTGCAGTTGGAAGACCTTGTCAACAATCATTCCGCGGTGGTCCCCCTAGGACAAGACAAGCTTCTCACCGACATGCCCAGCCAGCCAGCGCCCGGGAGGCATGCCCCAAGCGCGAGACATCCGGTCGGCCTCCAGCGTCGTCTGCATCATCGACGTCTGCGCGAGAGCTTGTACCCTCGACATCGTGAGCAGTGATGAGGACGATCGCGATGATGAACAAGTACATGGCCGGGGAGAGGGAGGGATGGTGGAAGGCATCGACGATGATACGCAGGATATCGCAGTGTGTCCCTCATCCAAGTACACAAATCACACGACATCACTCACTCCTCCCGTCACCATCCCCCAGCAAATCAAGGCTCAGAAACTCGAAATATCGTTTATCATCATGGTTTCCGCTATTCACGCGTGATCCCCCTCCTATTTTGCGTTTTTACGTTTTTGTAAACCACACCCGGAATGCGGGAGGTCTTCGACCGCAGCCAAAACGGCTTCATGCAATGCAAGTTGCGCCCCTCTCCAAACCGCCCAACCGCCCCCCAGACGAACCACAAGTGTTTTCTATATGGGGTGTAGATATCAGAATGAAATCAAAAACGTACAGTCTGACGATGCGTAGCGCACTATCAAGATGCCGATCACTGGTGACTGAAAAGAAAAACCTCTGCCGTCAAGCGCTCTCCAGAAAACGTATGCATCTCGTTGGTATTTCTTGCTGCCGTGGTCGAAAGTGGACCGCGACACAGCTTGTATGCTTATGCGTTGTATGTTTCTCAGCCCTCAGTCACCCCGCTTAGCTGTGGAGAGCCTTGAGCTCCTCGTCGACCTGCGCCCTGACAATCTCCCTGACCTTCTGCCAGTCGTTGACGCACTCCGTGACCCTCTTCTCCCTCTCCTCCAGACCGACAAACTCCGTGGGGAGGACCTTCTCCTTGAAGTTGAATCCCTGCTCCTCCTTGAGTGCCATGTCGACGGCGCCGGCGAACTTGGCAGGGTGGGCGGTGGAAAGGGAGATGTGAGGCACCTCGGCGGCGCGCTCAATGGATCGGAGGGAAGCGGCAACACCAATGGCAGAGTGGGGGTCGAGAACGTAGTCGATCTTGTTGTAGAACTCCTTGATGGTCTCGACGGTCTGGGGATCGCTGACGCGCTCGCTCTCGAAGTCGCGGCGGGCTGAGGTGAGCACATCCTTGTAGACAGGGCCGAAGCCGCCCTTGGTCTTAAGGTCCTTGAGCCAAGAGGCGACCTCCTGGGAGGCTTGTCTCTTGTTCCACTCGTCGTCCATGCCGGCGGTGGTGGCGAACTCGTAGGCGAGGAACCACAGCAGACGCTCAAAGTTGCTGGAGACCAGAATGTCCATGGCAGGGCTGAGGGTCTCCTTGACGCCGTCCTCATGCGCCTTGGCGCCATCGGTGGCCAGGCCGCCGGTGGCCTCGGCGGGAGGTGCGGGCTGCTTCTCGTACTTGCCTGTCGTCCAGAACCTGTGGAGGATATCGTTCTCGTTGGTCGCGATAACGAGCTTGTCAACGGGCAAGCCCATGCGGAAGGCGAAGTAGCCGGCGAGGATGTCGCCGAAGTTGCCCGTGGGCACGACGAAGCGGACCTTGTCGCCAAGCTTGAAGGATTCGGAGGTCTTGGCGAGGGAGAAGTAGGAGTGGAAGTAGTAGACGATCTGGGCGAGGATACGGGCCCAGTTGATGGAGTTGACGGCACCGAGGTTGTGCGTCGAGTTGATGTCGGAATCGGCGAACAGGGCCTTGACGATGTCCTGAAACGATTGGTGTTGGTGAAGGCGCACAATCGGGTGACGGGCTACTTACTTGACAGTCGTCGAAGGTACCGGTGACGGCAAGGTTGTGGACGTTCTCGTCCAGGACAGTCGTCATCTGGGCCTCCTGGATGGGGCTCACGCGACCCTTGGGGTGCAGGATGAAGACGGAGACATCCTTCTTGCCACGCAGGCCGTAGATGGCGGCGGATCCTGTGTCACCACTCGTAGCGCCAACAACGGTCAAGTGATGTCTGTCTGCGCAACGTATTAGTCTGGCTTGTCCAACAGGCGCAGTTTACCCCGCGCGGGCTCCAGCGAGCATACCCTTTCCAGTCTTGCCCTCGTTCTTGCGCACGAGGAAGTATTCAAACAGGTTGCCGAGGAACTGCAGCGCAACGTCCTTGAAGGCAAAGGTCGGGCCGTGGAAGAGCTCGAGGAGGTAGAGGTTGTCGTTCAGGTGGCGGAGCGGTGTGGTGTCGGCGTGGCGGAAGGTGGCATAGCTTCGGTCGATGATGCCCTTGAGGTCTTCGGAGGGGATCTCGGAGGCGGAGATGTAGAGAGAGAGGATCTTGTGGGCGAGGTCGGGAAAGGAGAGGTCCTTCCAGTCTTGCCAGTTGGCGACCTGGGGAATGTGCTCGGGGATGAAAAGACCGCCGTCGCTGGCGAGACCCTTGAGAACGACCTCCTCGAAAGAGAACTGGAGATGCGATCAGCGCTGTGCAGGCAGTGGCTTCAGGAGTTGCGCGCAATGGCTTGCAGAAGCAATTGGTTCGAGAGAAGGGGGTATAACATACACCGCTGTCCTCGCCGCGGGTGCTCAGGTAGCGCTGCGACTGGGTGTGGGTGGTGTCGGCGCCGGTGCCGGTCTGGCCGTTGGTGGTGGTACCGTTGGTGGCCATGATGCCTTTATGCGGTGAGGAGGGAATGGGCAGAAAAGAGGACGAAGCCCAATTGAAAGGGAGCGGGAAATGGAAGGGGAAAAGTAACGAGACCTCGTCTCTGCGAATGCAAGATCTCGGGCTGAGAAGGGCGGGATGGAGCGATGGACGGAAGGGGAAAGAAAAAAAGTCGAGTCACACCAAGCACGTCAAGTGGCCGAAAGTCGGTGGTGGCTCGACTCGATGCGAGTCGAGCCAACAAAAAAGAGCCCCTCTCCTCTCCTCTTCCCTCCCGGGACCCCTCCCGTCGCCGTCCACAGTCATTGCTCTCCAGCGTCTTCCAGTCTGCAATTAGGTCCTCCCCTCCATGTCCCGTGCCTACAGTCCCAGTCCTGGTCTTGCGCAACTTTAGTAACTCAGGAGTGAGTAACCGCAAATTTTGCCCCGCACTAGCCGTCAATCGGGAGGCAGGCGGCGGCGGGGTGACAACAGCGTCGGACGGGTGGGCAGGACATGGCATGGGACATTGGATGGCACTTGCGCTGCGCTGAGGAAGACCACCAGGGAAGAAAATAAAAATAAAAAAAAGTACTGGCCGCGGGGTTCTCATCCCTCCCCCAAATGTCCACTTTCCACTCCGACGAGTGTCTCTGGGCCATGTCGGGATGCCAAGAATCCTGGTTTTCGGCGCCGGAATGTCCAATTCTGGCTCTGTGATTGGACGGATCATGGGCAGCAAGCTCTTTCCAGCGTCGCACAGGAGCTGATGCACCCGTGCGCCTGAAGTTCCTTGTGTCATGTCCACCTCCTGAGCTGCAGCCAGCAGCATGCAACATGCAATATGCGCCTCTTATTGCCCCTCCAACCGATTACCCCTCCATCCCCCTCCATCAGATCGAGTCAATTGAGCTCTGACAGCTCGGGTGCTGACAATCTGCTTGTGCCGCTGACGCCGAGGCTGGTAGCTGTGGCTGGCTAATCGAAGGACCTGTCGAGTGAGTCGGTCGTCCAGTGTCACTGGCAGTTTGGTCTGTTCTTGGGTTTGGGTAACCGTGATGAGTATTCATGTCTCGATTCAACCAGGAGGAGTGACTGAAACAGTTGCAAGTTTCCGTCGTAAATCGAATATCCATAAAAGGCTTGCTATAGCATCCTGTCGGTATCATTAATACCGCCGAGCCTCATCAATCGTATGCCTCATGCTGTTTGGCCAGCCCACCCTCACAGTGCCGTGCCTTAAACGCCTGCTTCCCACAATGCCCCGGGTATCTCGAAAAAAGAAATATGGTCAACATTGACCCCTCCACCGTCAGCCCCGCGCCGATTTCCATCGAACTGTTTCACTTGCGCACAATTTTAAGCAGTGGTGCAATCTTCGACTTCTTGCTGAGCCCCACCCGATAGAGAGGCTTCCCAGCCTGCGATGCTGGCGTTGGGACCCCCTGCTTGCCATCGACTTTGCCCGCCATCTCTTTTTTGACCTCGTTCTTCTGGGGAGTGACAACTGCCGCCTCTCCCTCTGTTGCCGCGCTTTGCGGACCCGAACCATCGGAACCGGGCTTCAGCCCCGAGTTGGCCGTTGTAGGCTGCAGAGCCCGTGCTTCGCCCGCCTCACTTGCAGTCTCACTCGCTGGCCCTTTTCCGGTCACCTCCTCTGTAGATCGCTTCTTATCACTCTTCTTGGGCTTGGTTGACCTGCTGGTCTTCTCCAATTGGTTATCACCCGCAGGCTCCAAATCCACTGGAACAGCAATATTCTTGGCCTCGTCAGCGGGTTCAACGGCTGCGGGCTGATCCACGGGTTCCTGCTGCACGTGCGCCGCGACAACCTTGTCAGACTTCCTTGGCCGGCCTCTTTTCTTCTTGGTTTGCTGTGTAGCCGCTGACGTTGGTTCCGCTGCAGCTGGGCTCTCGGCGACCTCACTCAGAACTGCGGGTGCGACTCCGGGTGACGGTGCTTGGGTCTCGGCAGGCTCAGGAGCTGCTGCTGCATCGGATTTCCTAGGGCGCCCTCTCTTCTTGGGTTTGGGAGGGCTGGCTGGTGGAGCAGCCTCTTCGATAAGTTGTGCAGCTGGTCCCATGTCAGCCTCGGGGACTGTTGTGAATGTGGCATTCCCGTTATCGCTCTGCCGACTAGCGTCGCTACCCCTTCGTCGGCTTGGTCGAGGTTTGTACATCTCACGAGGAAACCCAATGTCGTCCGAGTTCCAATCGTCTGCAACATGCAACGCTGCAGCCTGCGGAGATTCATCACGGTGCTGACTGCGCTTCTTGCGCACAGGCGCTGCAGATATGATGTCCGGTGATGATTGGATCTCGATTGTCGCTTCGGGGTCAATGACTTCTCGTATTTCCTGCACGGCTTCGAACGCCGTTCGAGAGTTCGTATCATCTACGAATGACTCTTGGGGCATTCCCCGGACTCGTGTTTGACTGGGCGTAGAGTATGCAATAGTCGTAGCTCCACTAGAGCGTGCTGCAGCTTGCAAGGTTGTGAAATGGCGGGAAGGCGGTGGTCTCTGGTCATCCGGCGACGGATCGACTGAATGATACTCGTATTGCAGCTGTTGGCTAGCCGTCAGAGCTCGGGGTTCGATATACAGAGAGACCTGCTTCTGTCCCGAGATCGGGCTATTGACCAGTACAGAACCATCGTCGAGGGGGACCACCATGTCAATATCGTCAGTCGCCGCCGATGACACCGGTGCATCTATTCTCTGTTTCTTGGCTGCCTGAGGTAGAGAAAAGTTGGCTCTCCCTACCGGGGTGACGTCAAACGGTTGTGTGGACCCTTGGGAGGGCATCTCGATGGCTAATGGAGAGGTAAACTCGACATTGTTCACTCGCTTCCTCTTGTTGCTTGTAGGCGTTTTGTTTTTGGCCAAGGTAGCAACCGGTGCTGTTGGCTGTTCGGCCGGGCTGCTAGGCACGTCCCACATGTCCTTCGGCGTGTCATTGGCACTCTTCCCGGGGGTCGTGACCTGCGTAAGGTCCACGATCTCCGGTCTCTTTGCCTTCTTTGTCCGATTCGATCCCATAGTCGGGTCGGTGATTGAAGTCAATGACGAGGTGTTGGTGTCCTTCTTCGTCGCAGCCTTTATGACATCAGATGCGGAGCTACAGACCGCGCCGTGGGGCACCGAGGAATGATCGTGATGCGACAAGATGTCGTTTGTAGCTGGAGCTCGCTGGTCGTTGTATATCTCTTGGAAGACTTGAGGGTCGGTCGAGCCTGTCGCAGCGCTTACTGGATCGGAGAAACGTCCTTCGCTGGATTTCTTGGGTGTTGGAGGCTTCGCTGGACCGTCTTCCAGGTCGAAGTCATCGTCTGAGTCGTCCGAGTCTGCGATGACCCGGGCAGGAGCCATTGTCGCGCAGTGGCAAAGGGAGTCGGCGGTGGAGGAGGTCGAGGCGCGTGTCTAGTGTGAGGCGAATTGCGAGGGGCACAATGGATGTACGCCGAGGTACTTGCTTAATTGTTTTCTATTCAGAAACGCGACATTGGAATGCGCGCCTCGCGCGATCACGTGGCGCTTTATGCACTTAAGCGGTGTTCGCCCATTCCCCTGGTCACTTTGTGGCGGGCCGGTCCGGGCCGTACCTCATCTGAACCAGATCGGAACATCGATCACACGTATTGTTCCCGCCCTGCCGATGATTTTACACGGTCCCAAAGGAAAAGATTTCGTCTCAGTGAAAATTCCATGTTCACTCAATCTCTTCTATCCTGGGCCGTTTTGTGTTGACAGAAGGGAGCGACCGGTCCTGGTCAATTGCCAGGCCTGCCAGGCGACCGATGCCTGATTCCGCAACGGAGCTCTCTGCCGGAAGGAGTGTGGAAAGTTGCCAGTTCTCCATGCTCTCAATTACATCGCGAGCGTGTTGCTGAACCAGTCCGTCGTTGTCTGTGACGGCAATGTACTTTAGCGTCCTCATAATATCCTCCCGGCTTTGATCCGTCAAGCCGAAACCAAGTCTCCTGCCTGTTTGCTTTGCATCGTCCAGGGCTCTGACGAATCCTAGGATCAGGAGGATAGCTGCTCTTCGAAGGATTCCCTTCTCCATTTCCCGCTCAAGGGTGAGAACACTGATGCAGAGATCAACTGCGATAGACACCAGATCGGACCCAACACCAGTGATGTTTACTTCGATTGCAGAGGAAAAGATTGATAGAGCGGAAGTCCGCATCCGGACATCTTCGCTGCCTCTTTTGCTTTCCCAGCCCTCGACAATCTGAGTCAAGATCTCGTTCTTTGCCTGTTCATCTTCATTCATCTCGTCTCCAAGATCTGGCACGTCGCCTCCCCAGGCGTCCTCGGCCTGTTTCTTCTTCATGTCTTGCAGGCGCTTCTCGCGAGCTTGTTTCGCTTCCGTTTTCGGTCGATGGCCCCTTCTTCCAGCGATTGACAGAAGCGTCTCAGAGACCCTCTTTGCAACATCTCCAGTGAACGTTTCACCGAGGCGCTCAATCACTTGGAGTAGCGCCTCTCCAAAGCGTAAACGAATATCGGTTGTTGACGTCTCCTTGGCATCCAGGTAGTGCTCTAGGATCTCCTGTGTGGCTGCCTTCGGGTGTTTGTTTGCCAATTGCGTCAAGAGCTTGATGACTCGTAGGTTTATGAAGTCCTCGCTATCTTGCAGCAGTGACGAGAGAAGTACGAGTGTTGACTGAATGTCGAGAATCGAGCTGTTCGAAGCCACTAGACCTGAGAGGAGGGTGAGGCCTTCGGAACGTACTGGAGGCGGGTTATCTGCCTGGGTTATGTACTCTAAAGCGAGCTTGTACGTTTTCCTCTCTTCAATCTGCTTGTCGTTGGGCACGAACGCGTCTTCCTCATCTGGATCGATGGCGTCGCGATACTGAAGTAGGAGAGCTAGGTTCTTTGCGGTAGGGGAAACATCCGGTCGTCCTGCGTTGCCCAGTTGTTCGAGAGCCTTTTCCAGCGTCTCGGAAGCTTCAGGTTTGAGACTCGACTTCTTAAAGCCCGGTGCGGTGATGACTAGATTCAGCAAACTCAGAGCAACAGCGATTATGTCGTCGGGATGATCTTGAAGGCTGGCCGGATCCAGGATCTGGCACACCAGCTCGAGCACTTGCGTCACGCGGCTGATGAGCTTGTCTGGGGCTTGTTCCAGCATCTTCTGCAGTACTGTGATCTCCAGAAGCTTCTTGATCTCGTCACTACTCTCTCCCTCCTCGGACTTGAACAAGACCTCTGCCTTCTTTGCAGCCGTGGTCGACTGGAACCACCGGCTCAACAACTCCAAGAAGAATAATGATATCTCTTCTGGAGTGCAGCTCGCCGTCATGAGTCTGACGAGAGCAGACGATCGCTTTTGGATCTCTCCCCAGTTGAGTTCTGGAAGTTGCGAGCCTTGACCGAGTGGAGTCGCAATGATTTGCAGGTCTCCATCGGATGTGGCCTGATATTGCCATTTGATGCTGCCTTCGGCCGTTTCTCCATGGTAAACGAGGTTTTCAATGATAAGATGAAGCTTGGTGATAGAAGCACTCAGTTTCAAAAAGGTGTGAAGCAGCGAACGTGCTGGCTTCGAATACCGTTCTTCCGTTTTCGGGCTGGTGTCGCCCCAGCAGGAGACCGCCCATAGTTGGAGCAGAACAGGATCAAGCATCCGTCTTGTTTGTGCGGGATATGGCGTTGAGTTGATCAGGTACGATAGGCGCTTAAAAGTGACAAACAAGTCGTCCGCAGTGACGAGAGCCGCCCTTCCACTCAAATCCACTACGTCCGTGTCCTCTTGCTTGATCTTGAGGTCGACAATGTCAGAGTCCTCTTTCTTAATCACAGTGCTGCCTTTTCGAGATGGATTCAGATTGCGCAATAGCGGCTCGACAAAGGTGTTCCAACCAGGGGACCCTGCAAACGTCAGTGCATGCATGAAACGCCAACCCACAGGACTCACCGGGTGCTCCAAATTGTTTCCTTCCTAACACGCCAAACATAATAATCTGAGCCGCAGCTGTTGTCAGTTCCGGACCTTCTTTGCCGTCCAACAAAACGATGAGCTGAGGTGCAACTGCCGAGAACCAATCTTCTGGAGACACAATAGTGGGAGGCGATGTAATGATGCGAGTCACAACGGCCATGGCTTCTTGCGTGATGTTGGCGCCCCGTTTCTGAGGAGCCGCAGCCTCTGAGGCTTTGAGTGTACTGCTGGGATGCACAGAAAAGACGAATTCCATGGTTCCTCGCACGCCGTCCGGCCGCAACGGGATCAGCGTCAAGATCTTTATCAGCTCGGGGCGAAGCCATGACGGCGCAACATTGGGCTTGATCAGAGCGTTCAACACCGGCAAAAGGTTCCAAGCGCCGTTCCTAGATACCTCGTCAGAATGCGATGCTTCTTAGACGCTTGGCCAAGCCGAATTCACCTACCCATCGATGAGCTCCTGGAACTCTCTTTGGGCGGCTTCTTTCGAAGCGGCATCGGCGGAAGGATCAAACGCTCGTTTTCCGGCATCAAGAATACCATCGGCGAGCTTGGATTTTGGGTCCTTCTCAGGGCTGTCTGTTTCCATGGCGGCTGATTATTGATGTGAAAGACTTCAAGATCCCGTCTTAGTAATAATTCACTGGTGCTAGAAGACGATGAGTGCGAAGTTGAAAGCGGCTCAGAAGTTCTCACTGTGTGGGTCGTGTCACGTGCAGGCGCGCTCACCCACGCGGGAAGTGGTTGCCAGGTCTCAGACGCGTCTCCTTCCCTTTCGCGTTGATTGTTTGTCTCTAGCTCAGGTTGCCCTCCTTCTATTCGAAGTCTTCCTCCAGGTTCAACTTTTCCACCAACACGCTTTCGCTGCGCACCACTTGCAGGAGCCAATGCCGGATACTCAACTTCGCCGGGGCTCAATTCGAATCGCGACCTGGACCAGCTGGACGCGCCCTACCCGATCGATCTACGGGCTCTCTCGCCCCGTGTCTGCCCCAGACGCGGTGGTTTTTCGCACGACGCCTTCCCTTCAGTTCTCCGACTCTCATTTTCCTCACAGAATGTCTATCGCAGACCCTCGGCACGGATTGTGAGACCACGATACGTCGCTTCCGAGCCTGTAACAGGACCTCGCTTGCCGCGGCTGGATCTATCGTGGCCTCGACAAATGCAGTCCCGCCGAGAGAATGGGTTTCGGAACTTAACCCTAAGTTGCCCTTTGGTTCAAGTATTGCGTCTGCAGTCGTCGACTCTGCCTTTTAAGTCCGCCTGGCTGCAGCAAGGCTTCGCCGCTGAAAAGTGGTGTAAGCTGAGCGAGGCCGACGTGGACGGACCGGCAGGGAACACAGTCCAGTCACCATCTGGTGCGCGAAAGGAGGGTTACTATGAGTCGTTGTGTAAGAGCCTCTGGTCTGAGGCCGCTCGTCAGAACCCATCCGCTGGAACCAGTACTCTGGCCAAGAGTAGGTCGATTGGGGGTGACAGCAAACATGACTCGCGGGATCTTGCTGGCAGCACACTGCTTTTTCCAGGCTTATGATAGACCCAAGTGGCGGCTATCGACCTGTATGAGGAGACCAGTGGGCAGAGCGCAGCGTTGGCCACAAACAGTCAGCATCGAAGTTTCTTCAACATCGTCGTGGTCTTCCCTTGCCGGTCGCACTTCAGTGTTGCGAGGATTCCATGGCTACGCACGGAAACTCTATGATCTGACAAGACCAATTGCCATGCTGACAGCTCTCGGCACCCACACCTCCAACCACGGCTTGGGACTTACTCAGCAGAATAGCTGTCAGCATCGGATCTCGCAGCCAGTAGGCGTCCCCCCGAACCACACCCAGGCAACTGCCCTGGATGTGACATGCCTGCATGTGATCTGGCCAGGCGCATCAGCCTCCAGTCGTGGGTTCTGTCCCACGACATCGGAGGACGCCAAATCCCCGTTGGTCCTCCCCGGAGACCAACACTTCCCCGTTGTTCGTTCAGTCATGAATTTCAACGGATGAGAGCGCGGTAGTTTATGGATGTCTTTCGTCCGCGCGGAATGCCCTCCTTTGTCCACACACACAGACGGAGAGGAAACGAAAACTTGTCCCAGGAGGCCGTGCGATACAAGCAGAGAGAGTCTTTTCGATTGTTCAGGGCCCGCCCAGACTGCGATTCAGCTTGTCGAGTCCCTGCTTAGCTGAGTATATGAAGGCTGCGGCTCGTGAGCAGAGGGCAATGCAAGCGATCCCCGCTGCACTCTGAGAAGGAGGAGGGGGGCTGTCGGACAGATCCATTCGATTCTGGGACCCATCTCGTGTTGGAGTCAAAGTTTTGTGCTTGTCCAGAATCGTGTGGATATGGACGGCAGCTCCTTTTCAAACCGCTCAGAGAGCGCTTATTCGAATCAAAGGGCAGGCCATCGGAAGGTAGC